TGACAGGGCCTCTTGCTCAGATCGGGACAACCCTCGGACAATGCAAACCTCTATGTCGGTCAAAGACCACCAACACCGGGCAAGTGGGACCCCATGTCCGTCTGGGCCCTCCAGGACCCATTTCCCAAGCAGGGACAAGGCTGAGTAAGGCCCGCGATGCACACTGGGCGTGGCCCCTGAAGCTCCGTGCGGTCCCTGTTGTCGGCCAAGGGTCCACAATGCCGAACTGCAAAGTCCGTCGTGCGTCGTGTTGAGCCCGTCGTGCGGAGACCTGGAGCGGTCACGTAGTCCGTGTTTTGCTAACACGTTTTGTCCTAGGGGATGAGCCATTTGGCCAGCAGGAGTGGTTAGACAGTGTGCTGGTTGAGTTGGAGAACAACCATCTGAGATAAGCAGGCAGTAGAAGAGGTGGCGTTGAAGGTAACTCCACGGACAAGGTGTAGTCTCGTAGAAGTGTGTGCTGCTTCCGATGTGGTGCTTCCGATGTGAAGTGCATGCTGCTTCCGATGTGAAGTGAATGCTGCTTCCGATGTGAAATGTTGTTCCTGGAATTGCCGCAAGTTGCCTGAAATTGCGCGATCGGATGGCGGGGGTCAGGGCTCACACAAGCACTGCTTAGCGTGAGCGCTGATCCCAGAAATCCATTCATTCAAAGGATTTGGACGAAATTTATACAAAAAGTGCATGCTGCTTCCGATGTGCTGCCTCCGATGTGAAGTGCATGCTGCTTCCGATGTGTCCTGTTCTGTTCCGCTTGTACACGCTCAGGCAGCGCGACACGTCACACGTGTGTGCATGCATAGCCGCACGAGACCCATCTGACACGGCTTTTACGGCCCGTGGGACAAAGCCGTCAGCCAAAGCGCAGCGGCCTGATCCTGGTCAGACAGCAGCAGGGCAAACGTCAGGCGACGAAAAAATAATCAATCGAACCGTAAAACTCTATCCTGACTCATTGACTTTCATGCGTAAGAATGGGTCCAAGTTTGCGCTAATCCCCAACGTAAGCCACAACGTGATTAAACAAGTGGAAGGAGGTTTAGAGAGGGCAGGCTTTCGCTCTGCGCTAAAAAATCTGAATTTGGGCGGACGAACGCGCCGTCTAACACCCACACGGTCCCTGAACCCGAATCAAACAACACACACCACTCTGCACAAATATTCAACCTCCAGACAGATATGTGGATCTCTTGACACGCAGCCGGTTGCCCGTTCAGGTACAACGCGCTCGGGTGGGCAAGGGCCAATTGAATACCCCTCTGAGATTTTAAAAAAAACTAAGACAGCTACTAAATTTAGAAAGTAAACGATCAGGGCAGGTAGGAATGTATGTGAGCTCATTTGTGTCAAAATTTAGTTCCCTAGGTCGTGATCGCCGGGTCCAATAAGGTCACACAAGCTCAGTCATTAGACTGATGTCCAAAATACCACAAACTTCCTCGTGCAACTGCCCTGAACCTAGATACCTATTCCAAGAAAAAGGTCACTGGCATCGATTTCAGGTCAGAAGCCTTGTTTGACCTTAAGGTCATGGTGACCAATGGTTATGGTGATATACGCTACGTCGTATGTCCCTAAAAACAGTAGGTCGATGAGGGTCACTTAGGACAGCAGCCCCCTCTGAACTTCAATAAGTCCAAGGAAGACGTCTGTTGCCGTCCGTGTTATCAAGAAATTCGAAATGAGCATTAGAAGCCACCCTATAAAAATAAGAAACGGTGTCTAATTGGATGCCTTTTAATAACTAATGGATGAAACGTGCACGTTTTCAAGGGTAGTATGGTCATGAGAACGGTTTCGTGGTTAAAAACCTGTGCTTAGCTGGTAGGACGGGAACATTTACGACCCCTCAGACTACCCAGTGCACTGTGAAAGTCAAATGACGCAATGTCCCATACACTTTGAGCATCATTTCTTTAGGTACGTAGGCAGAATCTTCGGGGCAGGTTTATACCAAGTGAAGACTGATCAGTCGGTCAGCCATGGTGTCCCAGCTATTGACGTCATACTTGAGCACCATCGGGGCTGTAGCTCAAGTGGGAGAGCGCTCGCTTAGCATGTGAGGGGTAAGGGGATCGATACCCCGCAGCTCCAATCGTATCTCTTGGTTTTCACACCGCATGCACCCTACATTTTTTTCCTCGTTTTTTCTCCTACATTTTTTTCGTTTTTCGGATTCGTAGGCACCCTACAAATCCAAATGGGGCATATAGCGCTGCTGGATGTACCCATTGGCAACCCGCCAAACGGAATACGCTTAAACGGATAAACATAGAAGTTTGGTGCTTAGATAAGCCAGTATGAATAGCATTATTCCCCGGAGACAAACCAGGAAAATGGAGATATGGATGCGTTGATCTTTCTGCAACGTGCCTTTATCGAAACGAATAGCAGACAAAGATTACCTCTGCTTTATCAAATGTCATTATTGCCTTAATGCCTGTAGGTAATTCACACGCCTCTATCGCAATATCAACGCATCTACATCGCCCTTCTCGTGATTTTCCTCCGAAGCACAAAGCATAAAGCTATTATATATGTGAATAATGCTCCTCGCAAATGCAATGAAGGACTCACGTAGATCAAATGCTTGATAACGCACATCGTAAAATGCATCAGATGCACGCCAAAACAGAAGTAAAATCTAGACGTCCAGTAAGCTGGCGCAAACACGTTAAAAACGACTCTTGGCCGACCACACGTAGGCTCACTCGAACCAAATCCCGGATACTCGGCGTCCCTCCCGGCACCCATAACGTCGTGTGGAGAGCGCCTTGTCCCATATCACATTATCTGTTTAGCTGCGGGCTGGAACTCATCTGCCCACCTCAGTATGGGAGAGCAGAGCCTTCCATGTATGGGTCACCTGCTCATCTCAGTATGGGAAAGCCTCTCCTCCAGGCATGGCTATCTCTTCCAAGTATGGCTTTCAGCCTCCCAATGCTTTCTACGTACTTCCATTCTGGGTAGTGGTGTTAGTTCGACGATCAAAGCGCGCAGGGAAAAAATACGTATGCTTAAAGCGCCTCCACAATTGCTTGTTGGAAAATGTATGTAAGACATAAAATTCGTACTATCGCAAAAGTGTGCGCGCAAAGTTTCGTAAGCAAAAATTTGTACGATCGCGTATAGAAATTATCATTTATTGATAAAAGTATGTCATGGTAAAATTTAACATAGCAAAAGCTTGTATGCATACGATACGTACCCAACTGCAAGCACTCTAACGCACGCAATTGTTCGCAAGCAGTTTAACGTATGCAATTGTACATCACGGGAAAAGTTGGGTTGATGAAAGTATGTACACTAGTGTTCATAAGCAACATACGCATAGGAACTGGTGTCCGTGAGTACAATCCCACTTTCCGAGAGGGCTGAACATTAGCCTCCTTCATCCCAGGTTATCTACGCTGCTTCGATTGGTTCGAGTTCATTTGTTGTGTGCCTCAGAGCGCTTAAGTTCACGTCATGAGAAAATGTCAAAAAATTGCGGAGAACGAACTACGCCGGCGAATATATTTGCCCGCTTAGCAAATGGCAAAAGGGCTGTTAGCCCCTCCCCCCCCCTTCCCCCGAGGAGTGCTGCCCTGGGCGCCTCCGTGGAGTTGGTACACGCAGCTCCCACGTAACCGGAAATACAAATGGTACAAGCGTTAACAGGGGAAGGAATTATTAAGACGGACTTTTCAGATTACATGACTGACGTGTTACAAAGCAATGGAGTTAAAAAGGAACAGGACACACTTGATGTTTGTCCTGATAGGTCAGCGGATTGGGGCACCTGCCTGCCGATCCGCCCTCCCTCGTCCTGGCCCGCCTTGCTGCTCGTTACACTTTTGCCACCAAGTTACGTAGTTGGCCAGGAATTGCACGATCGGTGACAGGGTTCTCAAGCAACTTCGCACAACAAAGCACAAGTACAAAAATCCATGCTCAGCATGAGTTCCGATAAAAGATACACCCATCATTCATTATTAAGAGTCCACCCATTCAGATAAGATTATTAAATGGATTGAATTGTCTAATGTCAAAGGTGTGATAGGTCTATATGTCTAATTGCCTTTTAAACTATCCCAGGGATGCGCAGTTTCTTCTAACACCCCGTTGTCGTATAAGGTTGAGCGGCTCCCTAAGAGTTGCCCTTGCTAATTGCGCTTGCTGACAACCATAGGCTGTATTTCACCTGCCATAGGGTATTGCAAGGTACATCTAATTTCACATCAAAATATGTCATCTAATTACCTACAACTGTGAAGAGTTTGTCACAGCTTTGCCACGCCGTTTGAAAAATAGTCTGGAAAAAACCTTAAGGGTGGGGGCAAATTGCCTGCCCCCCTCCACCTACCCAAGCTCGTGTTTAGGAACAGGTACGTTGCATTTACGACCCGTCCATCATGGGTGCATCGCTGAGCCAGACACTGAACAGACCAAAGACTGCAAATCCTCATTGCTCGGACGACCTTGAGACGGGTCTGACGAAAATAACCTGACGCCTCAGTGAGCGCATGACAAGGCTGGAGATGGGTTCGGAGGCCGACAGCTGTCCGGCGCGTTCGGCTCGGGCGACGCTGTGTGTTGTGCCGAGCGTCCCAGAGGGACGGCGCTGCGCCGTATTGAGGTCACGCGCCCGCACGCTACCCCCGAAACGTCGTCGGTCAGCGGACACCAAAACAGCTCCCCATAAACGGCTGCGCAGTAGCCGGCGCGCGCCAGCGCCAGCGCCGTAGTATAGTAAATGCCATAGTACGAACGTCACGGGTGGCCGTGGAAAGGCCGGCCGGCTCGACCAATGGGCGCACGCGATGGTGGCGGGCCCTCGCGCGCCGTCTGTTCGCGAGGCCGCGCGCCTTACATCAGCCGATTCATCAGCTGCGCGCGGCGCGGCGCGCAGCCGGCGCGCAGTTGACTGGGGCCGCCGCCAGATTACGTCAGGCGCCGCGGTAAAAGGCAGGTGCGGCGGCCTGGGAGCAACAGTCGCCCGCCAGCTGTCTTGAGAGGAGGAGCCGCCCACAGCAGCGCAGAGTGCTAGAAGAGAGAGAGCCTTTAGGGAGCCGACATTGCAGCAGTGTGTTGACGGTAAGTTTATATTGCGGCACGGGGTCGGATCAGTTGTTCGAGTTGCCAGTGTTGCTATGGTGGGCGGGACCGAGGTTACTGACCTCAGTGGGCCGGCCGCCGAGAAGGACGAGGGTCGGACGGCCGGGCGGGGAAAGTGGGATCCAGTACATGTTGGAATAAGGTGTTAAAGTTATTCTTTCCAAGTTGATCGAGGGCGGCGTTATTGACCGGGACGTTTCTGTCTGGGCAGTCGTGGTATAACAACACACTGGTCGAGATGATAACAGTTAATGACAATGTATTCTCGTTACAGGTTGGTTGAAATTCGAAGTGACTGAATATGACTAAAGAGATCATGGAGTCGGCTGCTGAACGTTCTTCAAGCCAACAGGTGAGACAGCTCACATTTCTTTCAGCACTCTGTGACAGCCGTAGATGGGCTCTCACGACAGTTCTCCAAAGTAGACAATGCCCGTGGTAGATCATCTGAACAGCTGCTACTGCGCTTTCTGGATTGTCTTTAACGGGCCACCGGCGCACACCATATGCTTTGGCCGTGACCACGCACCCCCATCCTGCGCGACCTCTCTCGTGTCCCGTATCACCGCCTGACGCGCCCTGCCGTCCTGCAGGTGCTCAACATGGCCGTGTCGTCGTTCGAGACGCTCTCGGCGCTGCTCGGTCTGACGGCCTACATCGAGCCTGCACTGCGGGCGAGGTCGGCGGCTGCCAAGCTGCCCGCCTTCACGCTCGACCAGGTGTCCGAGCACTGCTGGGTGGACGACTGCTGGGTCGTGCTCTACGACCGGGTGTACGACGTGACCCGCTTCCTCGACGTCCACCCGGCCGGCGCCGACATCCTGCTGGAGAGTGCCGGCAGGGACGCCACCAGCGCCTTCCGCGGCGTCGGCCACTCGCAGCAGGCGGTGGATGCCCTCCTGCAGTACCAGGTCGGCGTGCTCGTGGACGCAGAGTGTATGTGGCCCGCCTCCAAGTAACGTCGGCTGGGGCGCGCAACACTCTCAGGGACGACCAAAACACGACGTCGTGATCGAATCATCTCATCGGAGCGGTGGAACGCGGGCGATTTTGACCGCGTTGTATGCACTTCCATACGCTATTTATTGTTGTGTTGTTTTTGTTGTTGCAACATGTGCCATCTCATCTACTCGTTGAAAAATAACTCATACAAGAACATGTGACATTGTTGTCTTATTATCCTGTGCGCTGAATATTGGAGGCGACAACTGACACATTTGTTTGCTTCGCGCCGCATACTTTCGACGGGAACGGAGGCCAAGATCAAATGATGGAGAGAGTCAGATGACATGAGGTCGCGTAAATGTGAGGGGGCCAGTAAGACGCCCTGCACGGCGTGACATGGGTACAGGCAATAACAGAAAACATCTCTTAACAAATTCAACACAAACCCCACGGTGCGAGCCCTTCCAGCCAGAGTGGGAGGCAGGCGGCACCATACAGCCTCAGCAGCTGACTGCGTCGACAAATGACGCACATGCACAAGTTCAACACGTGTCAAACTGGGCAAACATTTAAGTTATATCAAATCTGAGCTTAACTGTAAAATAACGCAAATACTTTCGGTTGATACTGGTCGCAGTAAGGAGGGTTATACGCCGGTGCAATTATCATAGAGTAAGGTCCCTTGGTCAGCCTCCTATGTCTTCTTGAGATCGGTCTGGAAACACTAACACTGGCCACTTTCGGTCGATTGCTGCCGGGGTTATGCGTAGGACAGTTTTGAAATATGTTGGCGGGGATGCACGCTGACGGTTCGGACAGTCGGTCCGCGCGACAAACAATACTTTTGATGGTGAAGCCGCGTCGCGTTGTCGGCTCTCTGTCTCCACCTGCTCCGGTTGCTAAGGCCTGACCTTCCTGCACCTTTGCCCGTGTAAACATCCGTTTCTTCTCCGTCAATTTTCCTTTTCGGTCTCGTGTCGGTTTGTCGCTGGTTCGTCGAGACCCCTAGGCACATTCTTAATATTTCCACATACAATTTATCATGCTAAATATATCTACCGTCTCAGTTATAGCCCAATCTGTCTATGCTTGGTAGTCGTCCGGCCCAGTCTGAAGCCGCAATTGTCGCCAAAAACATTGCGGTTTCTTTATCTGATGATTCGGGCGCTTTCAGCAACCCTCATCAGGTCATCGTCAGTTGCTCCGCCCAACAACGAGAGGGCCGCGGGAGCTCACAAAGGTTTAGGGAGGAAAACACCTTTGGTATCCACTTTTACGTGCAACTCCTTGAACGTCATAATGAATTTGTAAATAAATTTTGAGAGGCCAATGCTACTTTTTGCTAAGAGTGGAGGAATCGCTGTCCAGCCTCGCTCCAACTTTTTCCTGACACCCGACAGCTAACTTTTGAATGCTGTCACGCAATCTATTCATTTGCTGCCCAAAAGGAGCTTCCTCTCATTCTTTTAAACATTTCATTTCGTCAACAATGTGACGCAAACCAAAAGACTGCAGCATAACAACAACGCAACGCATTTAGGCAAGCATGGTACGCATCCCCTTTATCTTTTTTCGACCCTAGTATTAAGCGTACTGTTCATGTGATACCTTCTCATCAACCGAACACAGGAGACGTAACTGATGTCCCCCCCCCTCCCTCCCTAACGCAGCACCAGCAGTGTGAGTTAACACGGCCACGTCTCAGACTTTATTAAAACTTAGCGCATCGGGTTATCTAGTGCGTAGAACCCACCTGACGCTCACCAGCTAGCTCTCTTTCACCTATTGGTTCACGCACACACACACACACACACACACACGCACACACACACACACACACACACACACACACACACACACACACACACACACACACACACACACACGCACACACACACACACATATATATATATATACATATATAGGTTTATGCATATTTATATATGTATACACAAAATATTTGCGTCGCAACACCAATAAATATATATTAAATGCTACCAACCCACAAATCTCTAGTATTGCAAAGATCTGGACCGTGGGACTTATGACAATTCCCCTTGGTCAATTTGGAAAAAGTGACGATGTGACCAGGGCCAAAGTTGTGCTTGATTTAGGTGTAAATTCAAGCAGTAGGATATTTCCTATTTGAGGCGATGAATTTCATTGTCAAGTGGAGGCTGCACGTCGTACAGCCTACCAGCTTGAGAGCCAGGAAAGAGAGCATTCCAGAGGGCCATCACAAACCGGTGTTGCCACCGTTACGCCACTTTTGGCCCTCGGGTGTAGTGACGTGAACGCAGTGCCACTAAATCACTTCCACTGTCCACGTCCTCCCACCTCTAATAAGCAAAAAAGACCAAAAACACGCATCACACGACTCGGTTGTAGAAAAAATTTGTGCCAACAGATCTTAACAGACATCACGCGCTGCGATGACCTCGAGACACCTGAGCAGCGACTCTGACAGCCGCTACTTTGCAGTGTTGGAACGTCCAGTATTGTCGGACTCTGGCCACAGGCAATCGTGTGCAGAGGCGTAATGATCGGTGTCGGCCGCCGGTCGGTTGCGGTCAACTTGGCCCTCGGTGGGTGTCCCGACCCGCTGTCGATCAGCTGTCGGCTGCGGAGTGCTCCACATTTGTATGTTTTGAACTGAAATAACCATCTTGAAGATCATTTCGTGCAAATCACAGCCTTGTCATCTGAAAGGGAATGCTCAACATTGAAAGATGTTGAACCACGCATCAGATGATAAAATGGGCTCATTTGTAACTATTGGTATACTTCGAAAAGACTGCTCCAGACAAGACCATTTCAATGTTCCGTAAACATGCTGCTGAATAAGTCATTACTTGATTACGTCATCGTACCACGCACAGCAGTGCCTTTAAGATACAAACTCCTCTGGTTTCTGATCTAAACGCCCGCGAAGATGTGCGGATTATTTTTTATAATATTTTAAGGTCACTCAAGCATCCATGACGCCACTGTAACGTCATCAAAGCCTTGTCATTCTATAATCCATGCGGTGACCAAGACCAATAAAAACATAATTTTCGAGACGCCCATATCCGGAGTTCAAGACAACTATTTCCAGATATATCGGACTTTAATTGGCTCCCAATCAGTATTGCGCTAGGTACGATGACGTAATCAAACAATGGCGCATTAAAGAGCATATCTACTAAACAGACGAATTGTGCTGTCCACAGCAGTCTTTTATACTTAAAAGCATATCAATAGTTATATGTGAGCGTTTTTATCATACGTGATCCTTGCCTCAATATATCCAAATGTGGAGCATTGTCTTTCAAGGGAGTCGTCCACATTTGCATGGGGCTTTAAACTGAAAAAGCCGTGTTGAAGATCATTCGATGCATTTCACAGCCCTTCCCTCCTTAAGACCTAGAAGCTGTCTGGCTTTTGAGCCACACGTCCGCGAAGATGTGCGTACTTTTCGGGGAGACTATTTTAAGGTCGCCCAGGCATCCATGACGTCGCAAAAACGTATTTCAAATCCCGCCATACCATTGTCCACACAATGGTGAAGGTCAGCTTAGATATACATGTCGAGTCGTTCGTATCTAGCATTGTGAGCACGATTTCCAGATATAACGGCCGTCAATTGGCTCTTAATCATCATTGTGCAAGGGACGATGGCGCAATCAAACAATGATGTGTTGATAAGCACATTTACTCGATAGAGAAGTGGTGTTTCCTGCATCAGTCTTTTCCGCGTACAAACATGCCAACGGTTCTAAGTGAGCTTTATCATCACGTCTGACGATTCTTTCAATGTCTTCAAACGTGGAACAATCCCTTTAATGAGCCCTGAGAAGGAATATAGAATGATTGGCAGTTAGCCACGAATGCGTTTCAACCCGAATTCTTCCCTTCGAATTGCTACGAATCAAACCAGGATCCTCTGGATTGTGAGTCCAGTTCTCCACCAACTGAGCTAACCGGTTAGGATATCCCACATTAAAGGGACAGTTTTGATCTTGTAACAATGTAAAAGCACTTTGCGGCATATTTCAAGAACCTTTTTTGTGAAATATCAGGCTACTTGCGTCTGGTAGCAGCACTGGGTTGTGCCACTACCGTCAAGACGTAACAAGGATATCTATTTTAACTATTTTCGAGTCCTAGTTACGCTGCCAACGCTCTGCAGCAGCACCACGCTGTTTCCCTGCAGTCACGATCAACATTATCATGACCAACCGTGCACACCTCTACTGGTGCGAATAAAGAACCCTTGTGAGTGGCCCAGTGGGCAAGTGTCCCTTAACGAGAAGCTGATTGATTAAAGTTTTGAACCAGTGCGTCACATGAATCAGGTGATACTTCCGTTCCCAAAGCTAAAGTGCACTCTGAAAGAGTCGCTATGGTAACCACCATGGGGAGAAATCCTAGCCATAACATTGCATTTCGTTGAAATCACAGGATAATAGCTTTATGCCGGCAAATCTTTTTGTGTTAAGTGCTTCGAGCTTCCGGAGCATTGATTTTAAAAAAATTGAGACGCTAGTGTTTTGCACGCATTACAGAACACACACTTTGAAAAAGGAAGGTAAATTGCAATGCATTACTTTCATAGTGGTAAGCGGGAGTCGGGTGAAATTTCCCCTGCAGGGTCGGTTGCTTCAAATTCCCAGCTGCTCAGAGGGTTTCAAGAAAACTGGTGTTACTGATCAAATCGTGCGCGCCTGATACAACAATATCAAAAGTTCAAACAAGCTGTGATACTCCCTTTAATTGACCAAAATGTTGTGCACATAATAACGCATCAGACGAGGGCGATAGTAGAGATAATTATTCCATCCTTGAAACGCTACCCTTTTCCCGCTATAGCAGATATTTTCAGCTCAGCGCATACCGCAACATTACCTTGCAGTTTGCGACTACTTGTTGGCACTGGCTAGACGGCCACCTGCCACAGCTTCGGACTCGCACGGATAGTCCGCATCCCCCCCCCCCCCCCGAGATCGTCGCAGCTTTTCCTGGGACCCCCTGCAGCGCCCCCTCCCCGTTACCCGTTGTCCCACCTTAGGTGCGTTCGCAGTGGCCCGGACGACACAGAACCTTTGCCGTAGACGTCATTCACGAGGTCACACCTCGTAGCTTCGGAGCCTTTTGGTGTTTGCGGCGATCAGGACAGGAGTTCTGCGCGACGCAAGACGACGGCGCACGCGCAGACTGCTTCAGTCACTTGATCGAAGTGAGACAGAAATGACGCAGCTGGTTCAACCATAACCAAGGCCACGGTTA